CATGCAGTACGAGAGGCCGATTGATGCGAAAGGGCGGTGAGTCAAGCTGCCGACTGCCCTCGAGTGCTTGGGTGCCTGAGCTTGAAACATTTGCTAGGCATGTGGGACTTGGAGTTGAAGGTGCTGACAATTTTGCAAAACTTCTCGGCTCGTGCTTTGCAAGGGCGGTTTGGTCCGAGTTTGGTTCTGGAGTCGTCTCTGAAGGTGAGCGTGAAGGAGTCGGAGAGTGTTCTATTATAGTGTGAAAGCGTCAGTAATATGTATGCTAAGTGAACAGCGAGCTGATTCAGTTCGGCGGCCCAGACACAGGAACTCATTAAGTTACACCGGACTAGCCACCAGAAGCGCCCAAGAGCGGCTAAGACACGCTGAAGAATTTCTGAAAAGCCCAAAAAATGGCACAGGCAGGAATCGAACCCGCAGCCCGAAAGTAACCGCAGCGTGCTATACCACTAAGGCATAAGACCTTGCAAATGTGAGGCTGGAATTGCCCTATAGTACCACTTTTCTACCTCAAAGTCTTAGCTGTAATATTGTAGCCAATTATCAGGTATTAAAGCATTGGAATGTAATTGTACAAATGTATATCCTGATGGCGTGGCTAAGACACTGATGTGGCTAAGACACCAGTGTGGCTAAGACATTGAGTTATTAAATATTTGCTATTGATTCTGCTTATTGTACAAATGTATATCCTGATGGCGTGGCTAAGACATTGGAACATTAAATATTTGCTATTGATTCCACTTGAGTATAGTTCATCTGCTCTGGTGTTTTAGCCACACTAGTGTTTTAGCCACACTAGTGTCTTAGCCACGCCATCAGGATATACATTTGTACAATTACATTCCAATGCTTTAATACCTGATAATTGGCTACAATATTACAGCTAAGACTTTGAGGTAGAAAAGTGGTACTATAGGGCAATTCCAGCCTCACATTTGCAAGGTCTTATGCCTTAGTGGTATAGTGCACTGCAGTTACTTTTGGGCTGCGGTTTGATTCCCGCTTGTGCCATTTTTTGGGCTTTTCAGAAATTCTTCAGCGTGTCTTAGCCGCTCTTGGGCGCTTCTGGTGGCTAGTCCGGTGTAACTTAATAAGTTCCCATGTTTGGGCCGCTGAACTGAAACTCTTGGAGGCCGGCGGGGAGCTGTCAGAGGGTGATGAAGGCAGCACAGGTGAGGTAGTGCTACTGCTAGCTTTGTCATTGTTGTCAGGCATTATTGCTCTTGTTGTGGTCAGGGTACAAGCCGTGTTTTAAAGGGTACTCCTTTTCTTCTGGTGTGGTGCGGCGTGTGCCTAGGGGAGATTGAAATGGAAAGTGTACGTTGAATGACCGTGTCATGTACCTTGCATTGTTGCCAAGATGTCATTACCCCCAGGCAAACATGCAGATTTGATTCTCGAACTCACCATCCGGGAAATGGTGGCAATCGCAGAAGCGGCAGGATTGCGGATGTTTTTGTACGTGTGGCATCAGAAGGCAAGGCTTCTTGAAGCCATAATATGGAAGGGTCGTGGGCAGGAGCTGTTGGATGCGATGCAAGCAAAGCGCACCCGGGAGCTGTCCACTGCAACCAGTGGTGCTCAGGCTGGGCGGTTGTTGAACAGACAAGACAATGCTGCCACATCGGCCGCACGACAAGTCGGCTATAATCCATCAGTGTTTATGGATATTCCGTCCCAATCAGAGCTCAAGAAAAAATATGAACAATTTTATCTTGCCATGAGCAACACTGGTTTAGCACATGCAACCTGTGCTGTATGCAGACAACTTCGCTTGAAGTCGGATGTGCCAGTTGTGGAGAAGAAGTTATCGGAGATACCGAACCATGAGCGATTGCGCTCTCATGAGGATCATACCACACAGGACGTAGTCAGTGGCCTTGTGCTTGAGCAGACAGGTTGTACGGGTAGTTCCCAGGATCCTACAGTCACCGTGTGCAAGTCTTGCATGGTTGAACTCAGTTGCCAATCCACACAAGGCGAGCATCCTCCGAAGTATTCAATCACCAATGGACTTTGGACCGGGAAGGTGCCGCTGCAGCTGAAGACCTTGACATTGCCTGAACAGCTGCTCATTGCCCGTTTTTTCCCATGTGCATACATCGTCAAGTTGTATCCGCGGGATACTTGCAGGGGGTTCAGCCCTGATAGCTTGCAGAGTACGTTGGTGGGGAATGTTACAACCTTTGACCTCAATCTCAATTGCGTTGCCGACATGATTGAAGGGTGCCTCATGCCACAGCATCCACAGGTGCTCTTGCAAGTTGTATCTATCACATACGTCGATGTCAAGGGTCTTTCCAAGCGGTGGCAGCAAGCAACGTTTCGAGTGTGTCGGCATCATGTTGGAGAGGCGTTGAGATGGCTCAAGGAAAACAATCCACGTTACTATGGTGATGTCGACATTCAGCGCGCACAATTGGATCAATTGCCAGAGGACGACGTACTACTGGAGATACTCAGCAACATTTGAAAGGAGCCACGTGGCAGTGTACTGGCAATGGAGCGTGCCAGGTATGTTCCTGAAGGGGATGATGATGGCAATCCTGGTATGTTCATTGTGTTGTTTGTGGGACGCACAGCCAACAGTAATGTCTAGACACTTCGGCATCTTTTGGTACCACCTCGAACGAAAATTCTGAAGTCGGTGCAGACGTCATCCCAATGTACGCTCACGGCATTGTTGACTCTGAGTTGTCAGAGATTTCATCACACGACTTGCTCCTTACAGATCTTGTCAATCTGTGGCGAGATGGGCAGGAGGGTGGATATCTCATTTGTCATGGACAACGGCCCGCATCCAATTTTCCCCCCAGCACAGACAGTCCTCTTGCCGGTCACAACTTTTGGAAGAAAGCTTTTCTGACGCTGTTTCTGTATGGCGTTGGAGGGCCTGAATGCGAACGGCCTGTTCATGTGTCTTTGCAGGAGCATGTGCAGTGGCTGCTGGAGCAACACGACAAGCGTTACCGACTGCACTCTAACTTCGATTTTGTTGCGTGCAGCATTGAACAGCACAGGCAGGCGCTGTTGTCTACCAAGTTGCAAATGCGACGTCGAGACTTCGAGCGAGACACACAAATCATCTCATCAGTTACAATCGCAGATTTACAAGAGGCGTCTCGTCAGAAAGATCGCCACGAGCCTATTAGCAATGCTGCTGTCAAACTACTGAAGAGGCAAGTGCATGCTACTGCGAGCCGTGTTCTCGGGTCAGATGCGGCACACTTTCGTTTCAGGTCGGAGATCTGGTCGACTGGCATTAGGTTTGGTCCTCTGTCAGTGTGGTTGACTATCAATCCAGACGACATCGATGACGTTATCGCACATGTCTTCGTTGGCAAGAATATCAACATGGACAATTTCATGAACACTGTCGGCCCTGACAAGGCTGCTCGCGCTCGGAATATTGCCAATGACACATACACAGCCGCCACCTATTTTCACTTTATTGTTTGGACTGTATTTGAAACACTGTTCGGCATTACAGTACATGACTGACACATCACGCGACGGAAGGGCATTCTTGGATATGTCCAGGCGTACTTTGAGACCATTGAATGCCAAGAACGTGGGGCTCTGCACTTGCATTGTTTGATCTGGCTCGTCAGAGCTCCCAGTGCGGAGAAGATGCAAGAGCTTCTGCACTCAAGCGAGTTTCGAAATAAAATACACGCAGTTATACATGCAAATATTCGAGCTTTTCACTCTTGACTGGCCACTGAGGCGATGATTGCAGATGTTCCATTGGATTCTGGGGTTGCGCATGGCAGGCCTCCGAACCCGAGCCTCGAGGATGCAGAGTATTAGCGGGCAGTCGACACTTTGGAGTGTTCAGTAGTGCGTACAAAGCAGATGCACTCATGTGGCCCAGCGTGCGAGAAGCACAACCGTTACAGAGCGAAAGTTTGCAAACATCGAGCTCTGTGGCCCCTCCATGATGACAATGTCGTCGAAGACACTGGGGAATGGCATCCGCAACGTTTGTACGGTCTCCTCAATAATTACAATCCAGCTGTCACAATCAATGTGCGTTGCAATAACAATATGAAGCTACTCACAAACACTCCGGATACTATGGCAACTACATTTTACACCACGGGCTACACTGCCAAAAGCAAGGGAAATCATATAACATGTCAGCTCTGCTTGCGGAAAGCATGGCCTACCACCACGAGCGGTCCGGTTATGTGGACAACCTGCGAGACAATCAATGGCTGTTGTTGTTTAGGGCAACACACATGTTGAACAAGCAGCAGGAGCTACCGGGACAGATGGTGTACTCCTTCCTGCTTGGCCATGACGAAGCCATCAAATCACACAAGTACATCACGCTGCTATGGGTTCCATTTCACATCGCACTTGTCGAACAGTTTTCAGAGCTTGGCTACCGCCGAAGGTGGGTCGTTCAGGTTCCTGAATGGTTTTAAAAACAGTGTTAATGCTAAAACACTCAGAGACAATGTTGTTGACATATCTAAGAATGCGCAAGGTGCCGACAATATTGTGGACAATTGAGTGGAGGATGGTGAGGTTAGGCAGGTGGAAGGGAATGAAGTAAGTGTAATAACTTATGTGACAACAGTTCGCTCACTGAACAGGACACCGAGTACAACATGCTTAGGCTGACGGTCAGCAATGATGGTCGGCTTGTAATGGATTCTGTCGTGCTCGATTATAGCTATCAGGGGGGTCGACCTGGAACAGTTCAATGTTTATTGCTTCTTTACCGACACCTATGAGTACGGCAGTATCTCTGAAGAAACTGATGGTAGTACTCATCGCCAAAATGGGATATCATATCTCGAAACTCATCCGCATCACAAGAAGGGAGTCAGGCATGTTCAGAACAAAAACCACACTTGTATCGCCAACATCACAGGACGGTATCTTCCACGTTCAGATGATCCTGACGTCTACAATCTATATTGCGCCTCCATTCTTATGCTATTCAAGCTGTGGCGGGTTCTTTCCAATATCAAGGGCAAACATGAACGTTGGAAAGACACTCTGCAAAGCTTTCTTGCTGCAGTGGAACCTGACATCCTCGACACAATTGCCAACGTTCAACACTTCCATCGATGCAAGTCAGCAGCTGACGCAAAGCGACAAGAAGATGATGATGCAGGAACAGCTGTAACCTATGTTTGTGAGGATGATACACAATCTGATTACAGCGATGACGGAGGTGGGAATGAATCGGAGCAAGAGAGAAGAGGACAAGTGGGTGAAATCACGGAGGGGATGATTGAAGCAGCACACAATGCCCAGACAAGACCAGCAGACATTGCCCATGGACTGGAGGCCATACAAATAGGGGCGAAAGTCAGACTGTTCAGGATGAGGTCTTTTGAGGTTCATCCTTCAGCGTCGAGCGCAACAGAACGGGACATGGATAACCTATGTTGGTGGAAGGATGCAATGGCAAGGCAGCTATGCGAACAAAACATGATGTTCGCCGATGACGTTGACAATGGTGGAGATGTTCAGCCAATGACGAATGAAGATCAACCTGGTACTGTTGAAATACTTCCAGATATTGCGGAACAGTCGCTTGCTGCTGTTGACCCTTCTGAGCTGCTCGCAGATCAGCGTCGTGCATATAACATTATCAAGTGGCATGTTGACCAACAACTTGCCAGACATGACAATCAGCTGCTCATGATCATTTATGGAGAAGGAGGTACTGGGAAGTTGAAGGTCATCCAGACTGTCACAGAATACTTCAAGTCCAGGGGCATTGAAGATACACTAGTGAAGTCAGCATACACGGGCATCGCAGCGTCACTCATAGATGGCAAGAAAATGCACACCGTCGCTAGCACCCCCCTTCGTACTGAAAACCTCTCGGACGAGGCACGCAACAAACTGACGGCTGCATGGTTGCATAGATCCTGGTACATAATTGACGAAATCAGCATGAACTCTTGTGCAATGTTTGCACACGTCGAGCAGAACGTAGCATTGGCAAAGGGTTGAACCGACAAGCCATTCAGCGGAGTTAACGTGGTACTCTGTGGAGACTTTCATCAATTTTCGCCTGTTGCTCAGAAGAAACGCGCATCGATGTATTACGCTGCAAATGAAGCCGCTGGTGACACAGTCAATGATTGTATAGGTTCACAATTGTACCAACAATTCCGAACAGTCGTCATCCTCAAAGAGCAAGTGCGAGTGAACAATATTAGATGGACAGAGCTGCTGCATCACCTGTGATATGGTCGGATTAATGAAGACGATCTTGAAGTACTACACTCACTCGTCATTGGAGACCCTTGGTGCCCACTGACGGATTTCACGTCCCATCCTTGGAACAACACCGCTTTGATGACGCCTCGTTACGCAGTCTGTACGCAATGGAATGCCGAAATGATTCAGAAGCACTGCAGCGACAGAGGCATATAGCTTTTCATATGTCACGCACAAGATGCCATCCGTGGACGCCCACTGACAGGATTAGAATGGCTGTTGGCTGCACAGAAAAGAATTTGGGGTAAGGCGTCACAGTGTCTTCCAGACGAAGTGTACCTGGCAGTTGGCATGAAAGTCATGGTGACACTCAATGTGAAGACCAACCTTGATATTGCCAATGGAGCACGGGGAACTATTGAACGTATCATCTTGCATTCCAACGAACCAGCAGTGGGGAACAAGCCGATTGTTTACCTACAATACATGCCGGCCTATGTTCTCGTGAAGCTGAACCGTACTCGCGTAAACCAGTTAGATGGTTTGACAGAGTCAGTCATACCTATCGAGCCGGCAACGAAAACCTTCACCATTAATGTCAAAACATCTCGTGGGCAAATACAGCGCAAGACGGTGAAGCAATGCCAACTCCCCATTATAGGTGCATATGCATTCACCGACTATCGTTTACAGGGGCAAACCATTGCTCCAGTGATCGCAGACATTGCCCGGCCCCCATGTGCCACCCTTGACCTTGCGAACGTCTATGTAGCTCTGTCACAAAGCAGCGGCAGGGACAACATACGGATTCTCCGAGACTTTGCAGATGAAACAGTATTGCAACCACTTAACACCGAGCTTGCTGGAGAAGACAATCAGCTGGAGAGACTGAACAGTGAGACAAAGAGATGGTGGGAGTTAGTTGAGCAAAGGTATGCAGTACGCACTTTTAAAGTTACTGGTAGTTGTCTCATTTCTCCTCACCACACAGCAGTCTACAGGCCAGTAGTTTTATAAGTTGAATGTGGGAATATAAGATCATCTGAGAAAAAGTGATTATGTGCGAAAAGGCGGAGGAGGGGAGAGGTAGAAAACTGTACGGAGCGGAGAGGGTCTTACAATGAAACTACAGGCGGTGGCAAGATAAGGCAGTTCCAAAAAGGGTGGGAGACAAACACAGCCAAATATTCAGGCGCCTAAAATCCACTGGGGATAAGCTTGCTCTCCGAGCAAGAATGAAACAGGCTCCGATGAGCAGCACAGTGGGATGAACGCTGGTTTTTGGGGTCTGAGGTAAACAAACGCTCAATTAAACGCTACCCCCGGCTGTTTCCAGCGCTTCGGTATGTAATTCATGGTGTAACTCATGGATATTCCCCTGTGGGGTTAGGGTTAGATGCACGGTGGCAGAGCACATTCAGCTCAAGTTTATAGGGCTTCCTACAAATGCACACAGCATACACTGAACTGTGCCATCAGTATTGATCTTAATGGTGTGAACACCCCCATTTCAGTTGCTATTATTTTGAACTGGTTGACCGGAGCAAGATGGCAGGCAACCTGCAGTGCAGTACTACTCTACTGTTTGGTCCCTGGTTTTTAGCTGAGCCAAGAAATGCCTAGCTTTGATGTTACAACCAGTGCAAGGCTGGATATACCTCTAAACAAAAAATGACATTGAGCACAAAATAGTGTTACATAGCACAATGCTACATGTCGCACAAGAGGAGCCAGTAGTAACGGTTATATGCAGGATAGTAGACGATGGGGTCAGAGCTAAACTTGGCGTGCAGATTCTTGGTTAAGATGTATATTTTTCTCAGCTACTGGGCCTTCTCAATATTTGGTCATCACTTCCCCTTCATTGTACAACTTGCCGCCATAACACCTGTTCATATGTCTTGCCCATCAGCTGGAAAGCCTAGCCACATGTACGTGGATTATACCCTGACTGACATATGAACATTGTCTCAGCCTGTTGCCTCTGAGACTACCCCTGCACATTGAATAGAAGTGCAATGCAGCGTAGCTGCATATGCCATACCTCTCTTGCTTATGATTTTCAATCAGCAGACGGTGGTGATGTTGCCCAGTTATGTAGTGCCGGGAAACAGAAATCTCTGTGATTCACCGCAGCACCCCACAGCATCAACCACATGACACCACTTCAGAATCAAAACTTTAGTCAAAATGCTGGCTAACTGGCAGTGATGGGGCCGACCTGGCTATTACTAGCGCCTGGAAGTGGAGATCTCCATGATTCACTGTGCCCTCTTGTCTGCCCTACAATGTCAACCACATGACACTTCAAAATTGAGATTTTAGTCACACCTGCCGGCTTCTCAGTTTCGCGCTGTTCAAAGGCTCATCCCGTTTGACAGCTTACTATATATATACTTATAGGTCTTGGTAAGTTCAGTGATCAGCACAACTCCAACAAGTGCCACTATCATATTGATGGCTACCTGTTCGTTTTGCAGGTACTTCCAATTCTATCAGTCAAAATAGTTGCAGTGGTCTTTGAACTAGATATGAGCTCAGAATGCCGCTTCCTGTACATGAGCGACCCATTGTATTAGGCAGGAAAGATGACAAAAAACAGCAAGCAAGATGCCAGCCTTCATCTGCCCGTACAGTGGAGCAAATCAGGACCCACTCTGTTATGCATATTTGCCCAGTATCCAGGGCACGTGTTGATTGGCCTTCAAGCTTGCTGGTTCAATCTGAGTTCAGCATGAGAGAGTAGGCGAGAATAGATGACTCATTTCTTAAAGTGTGTTCAGCAAGATCCTGAATTGGGGCTATGTTGCAACACACACGCAGAACTAATCCCTCTAACAGGTGTTCTCGACAGTCCTCAATAGCGCATCCAAGTTAACAAAACCATGGCAAATTACCTCAGGCTCTACGCGTATGTCTATAAAATCTTGCAATGCAGCAAATAGCAAAATAAAAGTGAAGGCCCTCCACATGACTATACATCAACCCATGACAGTTCTTGGCTCATAGTCGTCAAATACGTGCTCACCAAAGTCATCACTTGACCAGTGGTTTGATGAGCTGATTCAGTTTGGCGGCCCAGACATGGGAACTTATTAAGTTACACCGGACTAGCCACCCAGAAGCACCCAAGAGCGGCTAAGACACGCTGAAGAATTTCCGAAAAGCCCAAAAAATAGCACAAGCGGGAATCAAACCCGCAGCCCAAAAGTAACTGCAGCGCACTATACCACTAAGACATAAGACCTTGCAAATGTAGGGTTGGAATTGCCCGATAGTACCACTTTTCTACCTCAAAGTCTTAGCTGTAATATTGTAGCCAATTATCAGGTATTAAAGCATTGGAATGTAATTGTACAATGGTATATTCTAATGGCATGGCTAAGACACCAGTGTGGCTAAGACATTGAGTCAATAAATATTTGCTATTGATTCTGCTTATTATACAAATGTATATCCTGATGGCGTGGCTAAGACACCAGTGTGGCTAAAACACTGGAGCAGATGAACTATACTCAAGTGGAATCAATAGCAAATATTTAATGTTCCAATGTCTTAGCCACGCCATCAGGATATACATTTGTATAATAAGCAGAATCAATAGCAAATATTTATTGACTCAATGTCTTAGCCACACTGGTGTCTTAGCCATGCCATTAGAATATACCATTGTACAATTACATTCCAATGCTTTAATACCTGATAATTGGCTACAATATTACAGCTAAGACTTTGAGGTAGAAAAGTGGTACTATCGGGCAATTCCAACCCTACATTTGCAGGTTCTTATACCTTAGTGGTATAGCACGCTGCAGTTACTTTTGGGCTGCGGGTTTGATTCCCGCTTGTGCCATTTTTTGGGCTTTTTGGAAATTCTTCAGCATGTCTTAGCCACTCTTAGGTGCTTCTGGGTGGCTAGTCCGGTGTAACTTAATAAGTTCCCATGTCTGGGCCGCCAAATTGAAACTCTTGGTTTGATGGCAATAACTAGACTTCTCTCGCGACACTACAATGAAGGCCACATTGTTACTCTGCATACAACTCTATAAATGGCCGATTTCCCATAGTGAGATAATGGAGTGCATTGTTCTTGCCATACACAGCTGTCTGTGGACGCAGCAGTCTGCCGCTAGACACAATGGCGTCTGACCACATTCATCGGTCTAGTTGTGTTCATCCGGAGACACTAATGAATGGTTTGGGGCAGTCTGTGCACCAAGCTTTCCCGCAGTGATACATGCCTTCCAAAGTGGGCATGCAGGTCATGGTGTCGGGGGTGCATAAAAGCACGATGGAGAGCTGTTTGCAGACCAACAGGATCTCCTGCTCCTGCCTGCCTCTTTAGCCTCCGTCTGCTTCCACACCATGTTCTGCAAAGCAACCTTGATCCCTGTGACCCTCGCCCTCCTCACCACCACGAGCTCCATTGTCCACGCACCCGGTGTCAAGGTTGCACTGGAGGAGCGCAGCACGCTGACTCGTGCTGACAGGACCTTTGACCATGAGAATGTGATCCTGGATGGCATCAAGATTCAGAAGTGCGTTCTCCATTGCTCCCTGCGTTGTACCGCCGTTACTGACTGTGCTTTGCCCTGCTTTTTGCAGCAAATACCAGAGGAACCTTCGGAACCTGCTGGCGAATACGGACAGTCTTCCCAAGGGCTGGGAGATCAAGGACTTCATTACTGTCTCTTCCTCCTCAGAGAAGCATGCTGTTGGCATCGAAGCTCTTGCTAATGACAAAAATGTCGAGTGGCTGGGTCCTATCACCATCGGTACTCCTAATCAGCCCTTCAACATCCAAATTGACACCGGCTCGCCCAATCTGTGGATTCCCAGCTCATCCTGCGCAAATCCGCTCTGCAACGGCAAGAGCAAGTACAATGCCTCAGCATTGTCTACTTCTTCCCAGAAGAATGGCACTTTCATAATCAGTTACGGTGACAATTCGACTGTCTCTGGCCCTATCTACACTGACACTGGTAAGCTGTTCAGAACACATGGTCGTGGAGATCAACTGAAATTCCCTCGTAGTGATTATCACTGGACTCACCACTACTGACCAGTACTTCTCTTCAGTCACCATAGTCTCGGCCTCTTTTGGGAAACATCCTTCTGATGGCATCCTGGGTCTTTCCTACGGCTCTCTCTCTTGCCTTGGCGGAGTATGTCTTCTATCTCCTCTGCTCTCTGTACGACACGCTGACGCTTTCTGTTCGCCCTGTACCAGACCCGTTCTTCAATACCCTGATCAACCAGAAGAAAGTCAGCATGGGCAAGTTTGGCTTCACGCTAGGCTCGGTCAGCTCGGAGCTGTACCTTGGTGGCACTGACACGTCCAAGTATACCGGCTCAATCGAATACCATGACGTCGTCACATTGACAGGTCTCTGGATGGCAACTGGTGCGAAGAGCCTGGTCGGCCTTACGACTATGAGCAGTGGCTTCAACATGATCATCGACTCGGGTAAGACGTATATGTACGCTCTGCAGGCCATGGTCAGCGCCTTCTACGTGGCGATCCAGGGCAGCTTTATCTTCAAAAGTGAATACGGGCTCTATGCTTACCCCTGCAGCTTGCATCCGACCATCAGCTTCAACTGAGGAGGCAAGACTTGGGAGGTCACTAACGCCAAGTGAGTTTGAGCGGTGTCGCATTGCAGTCTGTGCTGATCATGCCCTGCAGCTTCAACCGCGGTGAGACCTCTATGGGCAGCAGCCAGTGCGTTGGTGCACTCATTGCCACGAGCAAGGGCCTTGGTCTCGGGGACAACACCTGGCTGCTCGGTGACGCCTTCATGAAGAACGTCTACACTACATTCTCGTTCAACTAGAATGTCGTCGGCTTTTCCACCCTCAAAGTCTAGACGCCAAAGGTAGTCGAGTGTGCAGCGGTCATGTGCCCTAGCTTAAATGAAACTGAATAGGTTGGTTGTTGTACTAGTAGGACTAGTGGTAGTAGTTGCTCATGCTTATGGACTTGCTCTGTTCGCACATATTCTTCAATTCTAATGTGCGGAATGGCTTAAAACCTTCCGTAACGCAAACCTTTTTCTGTCCAAATGATTATTAGATGTATTGCCGCCTCGTGTTTTGTTTTAACTGACCAATGTGCCTCTGCCATTTTGAACTTGCGGTGACTTTGGAGCAGTGCCATGGAGTGTGCGAGACGAGCAGCAGGTTTGCAGGATCAGTTCACTGTTAAGGTACGCTGGTATACTCTCGTCATGAGACTTGCTCACCTTTGGGACCTTTGTTTGTTGTTCAGGAAATATACTTCCAACACATGAGATTCACACCTCTGGGTCTTGTTGACGCCCTTTGACTCAACAATGTGCACAGCCAGACACAATCTGACCCTCGGGGCTAGCCCGCTCTATGAGATAGATGCATTCGCAATCACCAGCAGCAATGACCGACAGTCCCAAGAGTTACACTCAGAGGCGCCAGTATGCAACGAAGTTGCTCCACATGCTCCACATGCCCAAGGCATTCCAAGTTCTGCAGGCATGGCCTTCGGAACCTAAGCAATGGGGACAAATGAAAGTAATGTTCTCGTGAAGGAGCATCGTTCCCATACTTGCGCAGACACAGACGCATGCCTGGAACGGGCCACATCGGATGATGCAGTATAAATATGTCATGTGGTCACCTGTCCACGTGCCTGTGGTTAGTGTGGTAAGTGTTGAAGTTAAGTCACACTTTTACAAAGGCCAGGTAGCTCAGTTGGAAGAGCAACCCAGTGCAATTGGGGGAAGGCCCCGGTTTTGATCCCTGGTCTGGCCAGTTTTACTGTTCAACAGGTTATGAGCCCCGCCAACGTATCTCTGTTGTATGCCTTGTCACACAAGGGTCCAGAGTGTACAGCGTGTCCTGCAGGACTGCAGTCCCAGGTCCTCTGCATGAACAGTTCAAAGCTGGCCACCTGAGTCATGTGACTTAGGGGGAGTGTTGAAGTTAAGTCACACTTTTACAAAGGCCAGGTAGCTCAGTTAGAAGAGCAACCCAGCGCAATTGGGGGAAGGCCCTGGGTTCAATTCCCGGTCTGGCCAGTTTTACTGCTCAACAGTAAGTCCTTCTGATACTCGTGTAGCGATTCTTCACTGCCTTCATCTACGCGATATTCTAGACTTGCTACTTGGCATTTAATCTGATCACTCTGGGTATATTTGTGGCTACTGAGGCGGTTCTGTGGGCTCATAGAACGACTCAACCCAGACATGGAGAATCCGAGAAAAGCGGACGCCATAACTGTTTCCTTTTTGGCTCTGCCACGGCAAGCCATTTCCAGGCAGCAGCCCAAACGAAGAATCTTGTGTTCATTTGTGGTACAGATTGCAAGGCCGTACTGTAGCGGGTTATGCCATGATGACATGTTCAATACCGAGCTAAGCAACGGCACAGATATCCCGCTAGAGACACTTGGCTTGACTCTCTGTTAAGACGGCTATTCTCCCCATCTATCGTGCCTTCCCCCTCTTTGTCATCAGTATTCCTCCGTCTTACGGCTTGCCAGTGCCATCGCGGCACTTGCTCGTGCTTCCTGCCGTCAGTACTACTGTACCTGTACAACTAGTCTGGCGGCGGGTGTGACAAGTGACGGTCGACCACAAGTCCGGCGGGGCGGCGAGTTTGACCGTGACCTGTGACACCGGTCAAGAATGCGGCGGTCAAACGGTGGTGGCGGCCTAGGCGTGACCCGACAGAGTGGTAACATAGACAGGAACAGTAATAGCGCCACGGAAAGCGCATGTAGGTGTCTTCTAGTAAATTTTGCGCCGCAGGCCCGAAAAATATCGTTTTTTTTGGCAGAAAAAAATGTGGAAAGCAGCGGCATCCCTTGTGCGACGTGACCGCCGCTCTCGAGAGCGGCGGTCGGGAGCTATGTGACGCGCGACGCGCCGGACTGGTCGTACAGGTACAGTAGTACTAGTACTAGTACTAGTACCAGTAGTAGTGCATGCTGGGAAGTCTAGATACATGTATGTAACCTGTACTCCGGCCAATGTATGAACCCTTAAACCTGCCACCTCCGACATTGTGTCCACATCGAATCGAAGTGCAGCGCACGCCACAAAGTTTGTTCACATTCTCAAACGGCGGACAATGGTGAATGTGATGGGGCCGACTTGGCTGTTAGTAGCGCCGAAAAACGGGAATCCCCGTGATCCACCCGCGCCTGTCCCTCTTTCTCCTCTGCCGCCCTACAAGGTCAACCTCATGACACTCTGGAATCGAGACTTTAGTTACACCTGCCGGCTTCTCAGTTTCGTGCCGTTCAAGGACTCATTCCATGCGACAATCCACTATACGTATAAGTATAGGTCTTGGTAAGTTCAGCGATCAGCGAAGCTTCAACGTGCTAAGACTACGGCTGTCGAAGTCGGCCATCAAACTTCTTCGCCGCATCTACGCGTATTCTGCGCAGGGGCCAGCACCAGGTGAGTGATCGGAGCGACGGAAATTTGGCTCAAGGCGCCTATGCTGGCTGTCCGTATAAAATACCCAGCTCGAGCGGGAGGGAAAGGCATCCTCAGCATTCCCTCTAGATCCCTCACGTACTCTACTCCATCTGCCAGGACAATCACCACTCACTCTAATACCATCATAATGAAGTTCTTCGCCGCTGTCGCCACCCTCGTCTTCGCTGCTTCCGCGGCTCTTGCGGCACCCTCCGCCACCACCACTGTGACCGTCTCCTATGACCAGATGTACGATAACGCCAGTGGTTCTCTGACCACCGTCGCGTGCTCCGACGGCCCCAACGGGCTGCTCACCAAGAGTCAGTGACCACCACTCCGCTTCGCTCGGACGAGTTCTAACCTGCGTTGTCCCTTATCTAGATCTCGGGCCCGACTTCGGCAACCTCCCGCACTTCCCAAACATCGGCGGCGCGGCCGCCATCGCAGGGTGGAACGACCCCAACTGCGGCACCTGCTGGCAGCTCACCTACAACGGCACGTCCATCAACGTGCTCGCCATCGACCACGCTCAGTCGGGCTTCAACATCGCGCTCGGTGCAATGAACGCCCTCACGAACAACGAAGCTACCTTCCTGGGACGCATCAACGCCCAGGCTCAGCAGGTCGATGACAGCGTATGCGGCCTCTAAGCGCGGAAGGTGAGTGCACCAGGAGTGATCATACAGGAGTAGTCTCACTTACTTGAGGCGCTCTTTGCAGGGGTTCGAAGGCGACAGATATTGGACATTCATGACTCTAACCAGTTGACGTATTCGGACGCTTTATTCCACGGACTTGATGACCTGTACACCATTCGCACACGGACTCTGTTGTAGTACTTTGAGTGCGGACTCTATATGTTGTAATTAGGCGTTGTTAACAGGAGTGAGGGGAGTTGGAAAGCAATGTGCATATGCTGAGGACGTGCAAAAAAGCATAATCAAAGGCATTATGCGCTATGCAGAGCAATAGTAATAGATGAGTAGTGCTCACTGCCAAGCCACTTGACGGACAGGTCGATCACCGGAGAAGACCGTAGCCTCCAGGTCATTCTACCGAGGCCATAGCCAAAGCTTTCCGCGCAATTGAATGAGATCTCCACTGCTGCAAGCCTGCGAATACATTGCGAGAACGTCGACTGGCGACCTGAGCGCGCTATCAGCAATTTGCTTCGCTATCATCGCGCTCCGCGTCGAACATATCTTCGTGGCGGGGCACATTAGATGCGGTGGAGTCGGAATCTGCGCAGGGGACAAGCCCTGCCGTTTCAGCTCAGTGAAGCCGAGAGTCAGCGAGGATGACTCGGCGATCGCCTCCTCTGCCCCTCGACACTTGGCTGGTGTTGGCCCTCCAGCGAGCAGAAGAAATATGACTATGGAATGTGCTCGAGATCACCAAAAACAGCGTTCAGTAGCGAGTTCAGAACATCGCGGGGACTGACGCGTCAAGAGATTGCTAGACAAGGGGAGGCCGCAGGGCGCGCACGAGTCGCTATATTGACTGAAGAACAGAGTCATGAGTTGATCCCTAGTTCAGAGAACTCCGCGACTAGTTCGACTGGTAGAATTGGAAGTACCTGTACACGAACAGGCAACCATCAATAAGTATCGCGGCACTTGGGCAACGATGTCCTGATAGGGCACCGCGTGTACCGCCTCATGTGGAGCAAGCGATGCGCGGTCATAGGTGTCCAAAGAAGCTCGCCCGTATCGGTCTAGTGATCACATTGACTGCCTGTATTGTGTATCTCTGACGTTCTATCGCACTCTAGCTCATCGTGCGTTCACGAGAGCTGGAGCCACCACCCGAGGCTGTCCCGAGCATATCCAGAGCATCGGCCGCTTTAGCTCACCCTACGGTCTTGGCCCTTTGGAAGGGTGAAATTAATTAATCTCAAATACGGCTGAGACTCGTTGCAGAGCATCGCCTATGGAGGGACATCAAGTCGTCCTCGTGATGCGCCCCGCCACCGCGTATGAGTATCGGTCCATCGGAGCTGCAGTCCGTGCATGGCGGATTTAAATAGCTCCGTGCGGTGTAGTTTCTCATTTTTGCAGCCGCGAAAGACCGGATGTGTGTTCGCTAAAGCTACGAACGGGGGTATATTGCACGTGGAGAGCGCAAGAAATTAGCGGTTAAGCTAGAATAAGCTGGATAGAGCGCAAGCAAAGCGGATGCAGGGAAAGACACGCCGTGATGAAGGCGAAGGGAGTTGCAATTTACATTGAGAATGGACGTTATATGAACCTTGGCCTGGACGGCTCGTGATCGCGTGATCTTGTACGTATACCCATGCTAGAGATGATGCAGAGGAGAGGAAATTGGTGCGAAAGAGTGTGTAGACGATCGTAAAGATGAGGTGAAGGACATGACAAGATCCCAGATTCGTAGTGAACGATAGGCGTCGCAAGGATAGGATTGTTCAAATGGCAAACAGTGTACTACGGTAGGCTGAAATTTAATTCCTGAGAAAAATCCACGACGTGCAATCCGCGACGTAAGATCTCTTTCTGACTCAAGCTGTCTAGTCGTTCAATGGATTATAGTCTATGCCACTCGCATTAGAAGTACAACTCTGGGCACGTATCATCCTCTTCCATTTCCTAATATTTGCCTGATCCTAATTGTGACAGCGCGCGGCGATGCTTTAATTCTATCATTCCTATCGCCCACTTTATCCGGTCTTTTGCAAGCCATACATGCGTCCCCGGCTGACAACATTTGATGCTTGTCAAGTGGCTACACTAGTCTGTATAGCCTCCGTCCTCTGTAATCGAGCAATACCGCGAGGACATGGCTGGTGTCTCCCGCAACCCGGTGGGAACGTTAACAGTGAGCACACAGTGGTGCAAGTGCTGCGATCTCAGAACTGACAGCCACATCTGCACCCGACGCTGAAAGTTTGATATCGTGGACATCTTCCGCGGCGTGTGGCGTGTCGGGTAGATCGGCAGCACTCGGGTGTAGGACCTTCTATTCCTGAATAGGATACTTCCCGACTTCACTAATCTCTACATCAGGGCACCCTGTGGTGTATGAGAGGGCGTAACAAACGGTGTGGTGCGCCTATCTTTCTTCCAAGCCTCTTGTCCCCGAAGATGGCACAAATCTTGCCCACCACTGCCTGCCTTCTCGGATTAGTGCTGGAGACTCTAGTTTACGGTGCGTTGGTGGTTCTTTGTACTTGAGTGAACGCTATAGGATATGTTTAGGCATGTATGTTGTGTTGTTTATCCTTTCTATGTATTTCCTAGTAGGCGACGGGAGCCGGAAGCGCAGGGACACCAGGATGAGCAAGTCGATGCTCTTGATTATTTCCGGGAATATCCTTCTGTTTGCCACCATCACTGCTGTAAGCACTATGAGAATGTCACTACAAGTTTTCCCTGACTCGCATGAAACGTTAGCAATGGATTATTTCCAGTGTCCGGAGCTTCATAGGTTTCATCGGTCACAACAGGAAGCCTGATGGGCCACTTCTATACTTCAGCTCGTTATCTGGCGGCACAACTACTGCTGTTATGGCTCTATACTTGGTCGAAACGGCCATAGCAGGACCCCTGACATTAGGCGGAGGGGCCTGAGGACAATCCGCATCCAAAATGGGGTCTCGGGACCCCCATGCCTGGGGCAATCCGCATCCAAAACACCCCTTGGGCCCGGGAGGGCCGGAGGAATAATCCGTACCGCGCCAGCGGCCGCTCTACCAGGCCTAAGGACCGTCCGTATACGAATTTTTGGAGCACGTTAGCAGCCTCATTTGGCTGGTGCCCAAGGGTTATATATATATTTAAGACACTTTCCTCGTCGATATTGGTGGTTTTTCCATATGTAGTGCAACATTTAATACAAAGTGTGCCCCAACCGGGAATCGGTTATCGTTCTCGTGGCTATTCAGATCGCACCGCTGTCAGTGTTCACCTACGATAGGCAAGTAAGAATGAAGAATGCAAGTGAAGGAGCAGATAAAATATTTTATTCCTGTGTCTGTACACCTGTATGCTACTCGAGGGGACAGTCAGAGCTAGGATAGAGTCACTTTGCTTCTGTCCTGAGTTGCCCAAGTTGGCATGCCGCTGCAAGCTGTTGCTCCTGCCTCCGTCAATGGCTCCTGGCAGCACAGTCGAAGTTGATTCCGACAGCGAAGCTGCCGTCGAGGCAAGCTGGAACCCCGCCGAGTGGATAGGGATAAGACAAATCTATCATGCCTCTGACACACCCGCCGTTGTACTTGCCGGTAGCCGCCTCGCGCTCACGCCCCATCTGATCATTTCTTGCGCACCCTTCCCGGTGAAATCCCGACTTTTTCATATGATCGCAAGATGATTAGCCTGAACAGCATCACATACAAAGTGTTCTATAAGCTAAACGATGCCCTCTCCCGTTCCAGGATTGAAGCTGCCGTGAAGGCCCTCGATACTTTCCGGAGGCGAGGGGAGAAGAGAGCGGCGGCGGCAGTGGCGGCAGAAGATGGTGACGAAGGTGAGACAGAAACTTAGTTTATTGTATATAGAGATGTTAGTTGTACTACAGGGATGTCTATGGACACAGAACGGCACGAGTTATTGAAGATGTAGAGGCTTGGTGACTGATCCGCATCTAAACCCGGCCGTCAGGTCGGGGCCAGAGGAAAATCCGTACATTTTTGGGCCAGAGGGCCGAAATTTTGTGCGGATAAAAAAGCGTGGTCAGGCGAAAATCAGGATCAGGCCTCTCCACCCAATGTCAGGGGTCCTGCCATAGCTGACTTCACAATGGTATGATCCTCTATATCCGAGAGCTTTTGTAGTAATCTCGTGTTTGCGCACAGATGTACCGACTGTGGATAGTGTGGCAACGCAGGTGGCCAATTGTGATACTACCTGTCTTCACGTATTTTGCCACTCTGGGTACGATACCAACTCAGTCTGTCTTTTATTCACAGACCCATTACTATTACAGTTGGCGGGTCAATTTTTACCTACCACATGCACAAGTTGACACCAAATGAAGATTTTTTTAAGTCCTCCTGCGGTATAGTTCCATACAGTACACCGTGACAGACTACGAATTGTGGCTGACGGATGCACAGCGCCTTGGATTGCCTCTACTCTAACATGCACTATTGCGTACGTCTTATTAAGTTCACGTCTCCGCAAAGATCTGTTGAGCGTTGACTAGCACAAATGTATATTGCTCCAGTGCGTCTTCTTACTAGATTTTGAAGTAGAGACTGCTCACCTGGTAGTAGGGCTATTATCGTACAAAATCTGGACTACGCAGCGAGAAGTGAGGCGTGCTCAAACTACGCACTGGCGCTCTAGTACAGTAGCCTCGGTATGCATGACTCGCCCTCCGCCCCTCAGTCTTAGAGCTGACTACATATATCGCAGAGAGTCATGGCTATTATTATCGAGAGTGCTTTGCTGTTCACGTACGTCCTCATTGCTTATACCTATGGTCGCACGTTCACAATGCGACACATGCTAGCGCGACTAGTGCAATAATCATGGTCACTTACTTTAGTCAGACTTGTTTCTCCGATCACATTTGATCCTGCAGTGTACGCTCAATACAAGGGGGCCTAAATCATTAGTAAGCCCTGCAGATCCCACCGTGTCAATTAACTGTAGCCTGGCGGAGCTCTACGATAGTACGGGACATTCTTATATTCGAATGGTGATAAATATGTGCATGAATACAAGGCTCTAGATACCCCGCTGACGGGGGGTCTGAGTGACGCGTGTCCCTGCTCCGATACCAGTGTGACGAGGGGTACGAGGAGTACCGGGAACGATCATCTTCGACGCTGATCCACTTGCCGTCTTCTTCGCGAGGGCCTCTTCTTGAGCCTTCTTCGCAAACCTGAGACAGGGAAGTATCGGTAAGCATAACGCAAATGCACAAAGGAAATCACTGACTCTTCGCGCTGCCGAGCCATTTCAGTCTCGAGTTCGGCGCGCTTGGAGAACTCGCGATCTGCCACTCGACGGTTGCCCCGCTCGTCGAAACTCTTCTCCTTGACGGAGTAGAACACGGAACCAAGTTCAGCTACACTGAAGAATCAGCTTTGACTCAATGAACGGAAATCCAAAGACATACCAAGCCAGTAGGCGTCGACGGCAGTTACTTGGGTCATGTACTCCTTCGAAGTGAGGATGAGCTCGTGGTAAAGGACGTACGTTGGCGTGTCTAGATATGAGTGTCAGTACTTGGAGCGCGTGAGACATTGAATAGACACACAGCCTAGACCATATAGCGCACTCGTCGGGTGCAGGTGGGTGGGGAGACCGGTACGAATGTTGACAAACTCGCCGATACCCTTTACCCTCGCAGCTTGGTGGAAGTATCCCGCGCAGATAGCTTTCCGAATGACGTCGAAGTCGGTACCGGCGGAGATGATGTCCATCTTCTGGAACTTCATGATATCCTCGAGCTGTTGCCGCACCTCCCGCGCCTTACGCAGGAGCTTCGGGTGCAAAAAGTGACGCATGGACCAGTCATCGCGGTGCCCGTGACTCTTCCACTGGTTGAAGACGTTCAACAACGTTAAATGGTCGCTCTCGGGTACGTTGAACTTCTCACGTGCCGCGTCCGCTTCCTCCATGCGTTCCTTAGGGCGGTAGAACACACTCGGTACAGACAACATCGATACGATCGTCAACATCTCCGACGAGCACTTATACTCGACAGACACGATCAGCATCTTGGCCATCGACGGCTCCATGGGAAACTCAGACATCTTGCGCCCAGCAGCTGTCAGGTTCCCGACATTGTCGAGTGCACCGAGCACCCAGAGTTGATACATCGAGTTGAGCATGTTCGCTTGTGGCGGTGGATCCATGAAGTCGAATTCGAGAAGATTCTTCACGCCGAGAGACTTGAGCAGCAGAACAGTATTGGCTAGGTTCGTTCGCTGGATCTCGGGGATGTTGTTGGCAAACATCTCGTTCCTGTAGGCCATCTCAGTGTACAGCCGATAGCAGAAGCTGAGAGTCGTGAGTGATAGACTATCAACCGTAAACAGATGATATACTCACCCGCTCCCGGTACGACCAGCACGGCCCGTCCGCTGATTGGCGTTGGCTTGACTGATCGGCGTAATCTGCAAGGCATCCATACCGACTTTTGGGTTGTACACTTTCAGTTTAGAATAACCAGCGTCGACGACAAAGAGGATACCATCGACTGAAGGCCACGTTAGTCTAGCCCTCGAAATGGACGGACACGGGCGCTTACCAGTCAGGGACGTCTCCGCAATATTCGTAGCGACGATGACCTTCCGCCGACCATCAACCGTGGGTTCGAAAATTCTTGCTTGAAGGTCTGCAGGCATTTGCGAGTAGATAGGAAGGACAGCAATCGGTGCGGGCTCATCTAGCTGCGAGAGGCGTTCTGTTTGGCAGGAGTTCAGTGGCTTGGCCAACATATAGAGTAAAGCATACACACCATTGATAACCTGACATGTAATCTCAATGTCTTCTTGACCGGTCATGAAGACCAAGACATCACCCGGCGGTAGCGACAGGTGGATCTGCAGCACTTGCTTAACCGCGCTGTCTACATAATCTTCACATGGTGACTTTGAATGGAAGGTCTCCACGGGGAAGGTACGACCAGGGATAGTGAAACATGAAGCATTGCCATAGAATTGAGAGAACTGCGTGACATTTAGCCCACGGCTGTAACTGTCAAGATCACGAAGCGACGTACCTTTTCAGCATTCATTGTTGCGGATGTGACGATAAGTTTAAGGTCTCTCCGTCGTGACAAGACTACACGATAACGTAAGTGAAGTGTAGGAGAACATATCAGAGCTGTACCCACTCTTGCGCAAAAGGCCCATCAAGACGTCGGTACTAAGCGATCGCTCGTGCGCCTCGTCAAGAATGATGACACTGTATCGGTCCAAGTCACCTTCATTGAGTGACTCTCGAAGCAGTACGCCATCGGTCATGTCTAAAAGACACATCAGTCAGTACCACGTTACAGGAGGGAGATCTAACTGACACTTGATCTTAGTTTCCGAAGAGGTGCAATCCTCAAAGCGGATAGCATAACCTACGGTCGAGCCCAGCTTACACTAAAGGGCAAAGTGATCAGCGCTACGTATGCGCTAACGATGAAGTTACATACCTCCATCTCCTCACTAACGCGCTTAGCTACGGACATAGCAGCGACACGCCTTGGCTGGGTACACCCAATCAAACCGTGCGTGCAATAGCCATCTTCGTACAAGAATTGTGTCAATTGCGTCGTTTTTCCAGAACCGGTCTCGCCGACGACAACGACAACTATCCAAAGTTAGCGCATATACCCACAGTCTACAGGATTAGAAGCTTACCTTGGTTGTCACGAATGACTTTCAAAAGCTCTTCTCGGCACGCGAACGCTGGAAGGTACTCCCTTTGCTCTTTGAGCGTGCGGGTCTTCGCAAATGTACTAACGCCAGTCGCAGTCTTCAAATGCGAAGCAAACTTCGAGTCACCCTTGTAGTCTTCCTTCTCCCCCTCTTTGGCCTTAGCCTCGGCTTCGGCTGCAGATCAGAACCAGGAGCACTACGTGAATGTGCGATCCGACAAAGCGCCATCGTAGGCCGATACAAATACACGTACCTTCTGCTGCAGCCTCTTCGTTCTTTACACCCATGATGTTACCGAGCTGCGTGCCGCCGAGGTCAGCCATTTTTGCAGCGGCCTTTGCACGTTCGGCCTGTTCGCGCTTCTCCTTTACCAGAGCGCTACCCTTACGCGCAAAGACGGCCATGTCACTCGTCGGGTCGCGGACGGGGTTGATAGGCTCCAACTGCGTTGTGAAGACAGTGCGACCATCGAGGAAGGGTGGTTTTAGATCATGGACCATGACGTGCACCGCGGATTCAGATTCTTCCTCAAAGTCGAGGTTGATCTCCTTTCGCGTTGCGACACCAGAAGTTACCATACGATTCGCTTCCCAGAGATCGTTATCCGCGTTGTACTGCGCTTGCTTCGCGGATATCTTCTTCTGTAGCGTGGGTCAGCGCTATGCTTAGCATTACCGCTGCAAGTGTGGCGCTTACCACTGCACGAGTAGCTAGTTCTTTCTGCTTCACCGGAGCTAGGTCCTCGTACTGAGCGAGTGGGTTGAAATCCTCATCTCCAGCTACGTTGCCCTCCTCCGCGCCCGTATACCAATCACGGTCCAGGCGGATCTGCTCTTCCTCCCACTCCCGCACATCTAAACTGATAGGAGCGCCATCATTCTCGTCAGGCGATGCGCCTCTTGACGTCCGCGGCGTAGGCGCATCCCATCTCCGATTCCGTGAAGAGCCCCAACCTGGGCCGTCCTCCGTTCTCCGTGGCGTTGAGTCCCATGCAACGTTGGGCACGCGCACACTGGGTGCATCCTCGCGTGAGCCCCGTTCTGATCGTGGCGTCGCGTCCCAGTCCCGGCGATGCCCTCTGCGGTCAAATCTGTCACGGTTGGCTCGCCGCTCGAACTCTCCGAGGCCGCGCGGAGCATCGTTTCTTCGTTCTTGCTGAGCAGTAATACCCTCTTTGATACGTTCAGCGGCGACCTTGGCGTCGTATATGCGAAAAGACCCACCTCGCTGGCGCTCGCGGTTACGTCTATATTCCTCTAAGCGCTTCCTGCCCGTCTCCGACAAACCGCCAGGGTGTGAAGGAGTCTCTTCACCTCTTTGACGGATGTTAGCAGTGCGAGACGCAGGTAAAGAGGGAACTGAGGTGTGTCAGCATAATATAAGGGCTACTGAAAACATGCGCACCTTTGAAGCGTGGTTCAGAATCGTCAAGCCTTGGCTTCTTCCTCGATTCCCCACTACCCGCAGCAGCAGCAGCCCGTTTCTCCTCCCTCTTCTCTTGTGCTAGCTTGTCAAGCCCAAGTAATGAAGTGCGAGGTGTTGGTGGCTCAAGTGGCTTCGCAGGTCGGCGGAATGTGTGTTGCTGATCTCCTGCGTCAGCAAATCTAGCAGGTGGAAAGCAGGACGTCACGTACTGCGTCCTGTCGTACAAGTCCTCCAGCTCTGACCGGATCAGGCTCTAAAACTTCGCTGTCATGGACGACAATGCCTTGCACGGGCTGGGAAGCAAGTCCTGAGGATTCCTGCTTTTCATGCGAGGTAATCTCGGTGTGTATTTCAGCGAGAAAAGAATCCCTGAACTTGCCAAATGATTTGGCCGCTGCAATGTGAGCATTTAAGTTTTGTGGAAGCTAGCCCGAGCATAGATATAGCACACCAGAGATGAAGCCCTCTAAGGTGTTGGTCTTCGCGATGTCCTGCACTCGATGTGCCAGTAGATCATTAGGATTGATCAGGTTGAGAGCTCTGGAGAGCTTAACTGCCAGATTATGTGTAAAAGCATCTTCGCCTGGCGGTGGCGATGCCATTCTCCGAGGCGTCGTAGATGATGAGTTCCAGTTAGTGGAGGTATGAAGCCACGGAAAGAAGCGCTCACTGGGCATGTTCGGGGTTCCCTTATTCGGGCACGGGGCGGGAAAACGCCCTGCCTTTAGCGGGCACGCCAACTTGCTTTCGACCTCCACTGTCAGGACACATGTGCACATGTAATAACTTCATCTATGGCTGTTACATACAATCTATATGCCAATCTTGACATTTATCAAGCATTAACTCATATATACGCAATCCTTCGAGCACAGCCGGGCGCCGACCTCCAGGGTGCACGAAAGAAACTTGTGAGTTGAGATTTTCACATTTGCCGTGACATCACGTCTTAAGCTCCAGATGAATGTACCAGATTGTCTACAATTGCGCGACAGCTTGCAGGCTGGAGCGCGTAGGAGGAACCATAGACTGCGCACAATGCAAGCCAACGTCGACACGAAGCTAAGCTCTCAGCAACACAGGAGCCTGTACTTTCCAGATGGAGACGATATGCTTTGTGCTGTCTCTGTCTCCGACAAATCCACAATACCATGCTGTGTGCACAGGATCGTCTTATTGTTCCATTCACTCGTGTTTAGAGACATGTTTACGCTCTTTACGAATTTCCAGGTCAACGAAACGCTGGACGACGCACCTGTTGTCAGGCTGTAGGATGTTGCGGGCGAGCTGGCTAGGCGCCATTACGGTACCTTCCGTGTCTCATTCGCCACCTTCTGTCCTCGGCACGTCGCCCATCTCACACCTGCTTTGCTACTCGAGACGACGCGACGGTATATGCCGGGAGTTTCAGGCGGACACCAGACCGTTGGTCGTGCTTTTCAGCTTGCACTCCTCCATACTACCCAAGAGCTAATGGTGTGCTTGTGATGGTCGAGGCGCCACAACAATCCTGCGGGGCCCGTCCGGCGCTTGTAACTTCCGCTCCGCCCCAGAAGTGATGCTTGATTTCGCGCGGCAAGTCGCAAACGTTCTCGGTGCGATGCAAAGGAGCACATCGACAGACGCGGCTGCCACTCGGCCGCCGTCTCGCTCACGAATGCAGTGTCTTCCGGATTCTCGATCGCGAACATTCTTCGGAGGTGTATCGTATTTCATTCGTGGGAGCCGCAGCCCATGACTTACTAGTCGTGCCGCGCTCCGTGCTTCTGCAAGTTCCAAGCCATTCGACGGCCTCTTGAAGGCTACACCATGCATGTATGGGAACTCAGCTGGGCACGATGGTCAGCTCCATTCAGTTCGGGGCATTAGAGGTTTACTCTGCTGATCTCGCCACATCAATCACAGTTGTCCACAAACAGAATCAAGTACGCTGCCGGGCCGCCCATTCGTCCACGATCAAAACGCCGCAGGAGAACAGCAGTGGGGAATAGCCTTCAAAACTTCAAGCGTCGTCAGGGCTCTTTCGCCCGATGGCGCCAGTGCGTTCTTGCCCGTATATAATGCTCGACGCAAAGCGACTTCATCACCCAACACATCCAGACTTAACCAATCCTACTCACTTCGCCCTCCAATCGCTCCCCGTGATGAAGTATTTCACCGTCGTCGCTGCCCTCGCTGCTACCGGCCTCGCACAGAGCATCGTCATCAGCACCCCCGCCGCCAATTCTACCGTCAGTGCGGGCCAGCCCATTACGGTCGAGGTCGACAAGCAGGTGCGTTTCATGACTGTGATGACGTCAATGGGGCTGGCGCTGACTACTACGCCCACAGAACACCTTGACCGGGTCGATTGAGGTCGCACTCGTGCTCTCGATAGTGCCCTGCCCGGCCGACGGATGTACCGACCCTAGCTACAACCCGTCTGACGATCTCGGCCAAATCTTCTACAACGGGGCCTACAACCCCCAGTCCCAGCCCGGAGCTCCTCAGAAGCCACCTCACCAGAACTTCACGGTGCAGGTTCCGACGTCGTTCACCAGCGGCGAGAATGTTGCTCTCATCGCTACGCATCTCAACTTGGTCGGCGTAAGTACCCATCGATTTGTGCGTCTGTCAGACGTCGTCTAACTGTCGGTTCTCTTTGTAGGCTGGGCCCGAGCCCGTTCTCCAGGTTCTCTTCGTTCCTTTGACTGTACTTTGATTGGCAGATATCAGGACTCGTCTCAATGATTCCTTATGAACCTATTATCCACGGGCTTCTCGTATCTATAGTATGCGCATCCTATTTTTAAAGCAGTAGACGGCATATTGCAAGTACGACTTGGCAATCAAGCGGATATTCCACTTTGGAGAGCTGTAAGAGTAAAGTATGATGCACAGGATAGCGGACCGTGCTCTGAGGCACAGATAGGTTGACCCTATGGCTAGTTATCCCACGCCACAAGGTCAATGGCGCATCATGATGCGCCTCTTCAATCACTCGGAGCCGACGTGAAAAACCTCTATCTCTACCTTTACAGAATATTGGACATGGCTCAGCATACAACATCTTGGAGTCTCAACATTACTCTCCTCAAGTCCGCGACCTCAGCTGAGCCGCGGATCCGAGTCACCAGTTGAGAACTTCTCGCAGTGCAGAGCCACACCGGTGCCTCGGCGTGCCATAGAGGCAAATCCGTCCCTCAAACGACTTTATTGGACTCTAATGCGAGCTCTAAGCTCGGAATCCATGCGCGGAAGACTGTCGTATACGAGCGTTCCCCGGTTAGCATGTATACGTGAGGGATTACCACGCTGCAGTATTTGGGATACAGTATCATGTCACTACCTTGCACTGTTAGGAGAGTAGACGAAGTTTGTTGTTGGTTCAGCTCCCCAATACATGCCTCAGTTATTCAATGGCATAAACGCCGACATTCTCGGCCTCTTAGCACTGTGTCCGGTGCATGGCAACCGGGGTCCAGCCGCTGCGAGACCTTTCAGGTTCAGCGGCCTTCGTGGAACCGCCTGGACTCGTCTCAATTTCGAGATACGACGAAGTAAGGGCGTCATATCTGGTCGGACTCGCGACTGTTGCGGTTCAATATCGAGCAGTATGAAACGTAATGCCTGATGCAGTGGCTCAGTTCGAACCTCGGTGGGAGCTGCTCAAACTTAAACAACAACCACACTCAACTTGATTCTCGTCTTCAGGTGAGCTGCTATTCCATCGAAAACTCACATCCGAGCTGAGGTTGGTCTGCACACTAAGTGATTGTCATCCCCTGCTAGCCTCCGTATAATGGAGACAGAACATGAAACAGGCCCGGGAGCGCTGGGGGACTCGACCGACGCGCGACGGCGTAGACGTTGTCCTCCCACGGGGCTAAATTTATACTATTTTGTGCGGATAGAGGTACAAAAGCACATTCAGTTTGTTTCATAAATATACTCAAGCTATTTCCCCATGGGGATGTTATCATTTTAGTGGTACAAAAAAGATACACTGCTTTTACACCTTTTGAGGTATTAGGAGAGTCGAGTTATCCTTAGGGCGAAATCATCATCATTTCTTTCTCCATGTGTATTACTCTATATATGGATAGCCCAGCGGTATTTGCATCTCTTTTTGCTGCGAGCAGGCCAACTTTTTACAACAAGATTTACTTAAAAAAGGCGACTTTGTTTTACTCTTATTTCCAAATTTTACCTATCATATATTTTCGCCAGAAAGTATTCAGGCTTTTTAGCTTCTTTTCTCGCGGTCATTTTCGTGCCTCTGTCAGCTAAAAATATTTATCAATTAGCCCCGTGTCCGTGCCTCAGATGCACAGTCCACTGTCCGCATCTTCCGAGTTCATCAGTCCATACTTTCCCGTTAGTATTTGGCCGGCTTTGCAAGTATGTTTTCGCTGCCCACGAACGGCTCGACAAACGAGAGTTACGATGGGGCGCCCTTGTTCCAGATGCAGGACGATGCGGGAGAACTAGCAGAGCTAATTGGTGCACTATATGATCTTAAGTAAGCGAGCCCGACATTTTCCAGACACATCTCAAACCTATGTACCTGCACTAGGTTGCCACCCATGCGTCTTCTCGACCCGCAAAACCCAGAGCGAGCAAGCGCAGCCTTGAAACTTGCCAAGAAATACGAAGTCGGCTCCATCTGTGCACGAATCGTTCGTCGTGTGGAAGCGGACTGGCCAAAGACGTCATGCAATGGCTTCGCTCTTCTGCCGATATGCAGAAATGCACCAAGCTCCGCGCGATGTTTGTCATCGCTGTCCCAATCAACGTCGACATCGGTCCCTTTATTCCCGAACCAGCATCCGCCATACGCTTCGCCCGGGAGTTCAACGTCCCGTCTATCTTGCCGGCGGCGTTCTACACCCTGGCCCTGACTGACGTGCAGCGGAACTGGGACAGCGCCGATTACCGACCATTCCACGCCGCACGTTGATCGCTTCTGGACCAGGCAGACACGCTGAGGCTTATCTGCGGCAAAGTCAGCTTGTGCCAAAAGATCAGAGTCACGGCGGAGATCCCACTCTTATTAGACGAGCCGTATTGCGCTGATTGTGAGGATGGTCGGCTTCCACACGTTCTTAGCGAGTTACGGTCGAATTATCTTGCATCCGGGTGTTTTACCGGGGGGGGGGGGGGGGGGGGTTGGT